CATTAAAAGTGCTGCGATGTTCGGAACAGCAGACATGGCACATAAAACAACTCCCTAAAGGTCAGCGATAATCAGCAAGCTCGCCAAAAATCGCGGATGGCGAAACTTGGGAAATGAAATTGGAGGCGACTAATGAAGAGGAGCACACAAGGGTGACATTACACAGCTGTGCGCGGCACTCAGCGAGTTTCCAGGTAAAACGTGCCTCTCGGGCACAAGGAAAGCGAACGCGCAGTAGAGAGAATAATCCGAAATATAGCAGATGACAAGAGCGAGAGCGAGAGGAGCAGGCTGAAGGGCGCTCTATTTTTCTCCAAGCGCAACAAAAGCAGCTGTGGGAGGAGAAGGGCAGGAGGGGAGCAGCGGAGTCTGCATTTTTCGCTTTAACAAGGCCGAAGATTAGCTAGTTCTCCAATTTTGCCAGGCGATAGAATCGATAATGTTGTTTCGCGCCTGGCATCCTCAACGCTGCGGCGCTCGTTGGCGGGGCAGCAGCGAGGTTAATGGCTTCTGATTCCTCTGCGCAAGAAGTATGGAGGACGGGGATGGGAACAACTTTTCGAGCCCGCACGGACAGCAGCACTGAAGGAAAGGACGGATCGAAGTGCCATCGAGATAATTAGGCTCTAGCCCGTCTCTTCGACACACAAACAAAAAAGCATGGAAAACCATTATACCGTGATAGTCGGGAGTGACGAAACGCAAAACGAGAGAGAGAGAGAGAGAGAGAGAGAGAGAGAGAGGGAGAGAAAGATCGGGATTGAGGAGGGAGGAGAAGAAATTTCTGGAACGAGCGTTACAAGGCGAGCGCAGCGTAATAAAGAGCGTCGGCGTAAAAAAGATCCGCGAGCTCTCTTGCGCGAGCGGCGAGTGCGGGGCAAGGGAATTAATAGAGAGACAGAGACGGAGAATAGTGCACGTCGATATGGGGGGGGAGGGGGGAGCGAGAAGGGAGCATAAGACGGAGGAGAAGCGCGTTCACACTACGTGTCTGTGCGGTCAAGGCACCAGCGCCGCACACATATAGTCGAAAGCTCCCTTCTTTCTTTCTCGTGCACCGATGCGCGCCGCGAGCGAGCTCGCACTCTTTACGCTCGTCGAATCACCCCCCACTTTCTCCTATCTCGCGCACCTTTCGCCAAACCAACCCTACTCCCGCGCACTCTTCGCTTTTTTCGGGGAGCTTACAAAGCCGTCCGTTATTTTTCATTAATGCTTCCGTTGTTAGGCATTTTCACTTTGAACTTCGCCATTTCATTTGTCAGATGAGCAACTTGTTTGATGAGGTAAACAAAATTTTCAGATTCATTAAAAAAATTCCGGTGAACCACGCCAAAGCCATCGGCAAGAATTTCTTAGCCGAGCCAAAATTGTCTTCCTTTCAGGAAAATCTTTGTGTAATCACCTCTTATAGAAAAAAAAGACATTAAGAATAACCACGCTGAAAGACGTTCCCGCGAAGGAAAAATATTTTAGTGTAAACATTTTCCGAAAACTCGATAATTCCCTGAACGAATCTTTCTCTCTCCGAATCTTCCGAATCTCGGGGTGCTCCGAGATACACGGCAAGGCAGGGGTGCGGGTGCGGAAAAGGGAAATGCAGTGGTGTGCGAGCGGGAATGCGTGAGAAGAAAAGTAGAAGGAGAAGGAGGTAACGGAGAAGGTGGCACTGGTGGAAGGAGGAGGAGGAGGGCGCGAAGCCATTGAGGGGAAACAAAAGGGGAATATTTCACAAGAGTTGAATGTTGGTGGGAGGTTGGATTCGGAGCTTCCATCCCTCGCACGCCACGTTTTCGGAGGGAGAGTCTACGCTGTTGCTTCTCGCCGCGACGACAACGCTACGGTGGGGCAACTTTAGGAGAGGAGAGAGAGAGAGACGCAACAGCAGCGCTGGATTGAGGCACCGAAGCAAAGAGAGACATACGAGCTTTTCAGAGTTTCAAATTCGGTGACGAGTTGGGCGTTAACGATACGCGTTGGTGTTGAGCGAGACAGTAAGAAACATTGCCGGGCTTGTATGGAGATTACAGCTACACTGATTCCATTCCCATGAAAAAGCTCACATGTTTACATTTGTTCGAATTTCGGTATTGTAATTGAATTACTCGTCTACACAACCGATGACTTCTAATTGTGCAGTTTCACAAAAGTCAACGCATAGATTCCGCACAACAATGAGCAAAATGCTCTCATAAATTTGCGACTTTTTTCTATACGAAAAAAAAGAAGATAATGCGCGTCTTTGTTCGATACAGCCGTAGGAAAAAATACGAAGAAGAACCCGCGGCCGCTATATTCACGCGCTTTGCCGTATACACTAGGAAATAATGAGTGAGCATATATACACAGCCACATACTGCGGTGCGCGTAATATGACTTAGCGGAGGAAGACCTTTTATAGCCGGCGCAAAGTTGTGCGCGTATGTACAGGCGAGGCGACTCGCGGGCCAAAACAGCATCGGTTCCTTTTGTGCGGATGCGGGGTCATTGTTTTCCTGGCGAGATCCTCGCGAGCAAGCGAGCGTGAGACATCCTACACGCGTCTATATAGGTACGATACGCGCAGTCGCTATCCGCATCGCGTCTACGAGGCATGATTTTGACTAAGTAGACGCAGCAGCGTAGCCCATTGTGGACGGTACGTGCGGTTTTCAAGTGCCTATCATTGGTCTCGCGCGCGCCTTTCTGTTTGCGGGAATGAATTGGCTTTTATCAGGCCGAAAAACAGGTTCCGTCCAAACAAGTCTTCGCCAACGCCAGCAAGCTTTCTTTGCTGCCTTCACAGCTGGAAGAAGCCCGTTAGACTATGAAGCGCAGACGGACAGTTGAAGAAGCCAAAGCGCGAAAGAACGAGTCGGGTCTATAGCTACAGCGGCGCGCGACTGTATGAGTCGTAATGAACAGAGAAGCAGCTGCGGAGCTTGAAAGAGATGGAAAAATATTCGCCAATTGACATTGTTCGAACGAGCAAATCGTTGCCTCGCGCTCGAGTTCGTATGCGTGCCTCGTGTATTTCATTGATTGAGCGCGTTGTTTGATCGTCAATTCGTTTGGAAAAACAGCGCTGCGTCTACGCAAATCCAACGGGATTCCTTGGGATGCGCGCAGCGAAAAAAAACGCTTGTGGAACATCTGTCAGAACGGATGGCGAGAGGAGAGACAGAGAGAAATTGCGGAACATGATCTCAAAGGCTGGAGGGATCGTTGTCGTCGTCGTCGTCATTGTCGTCGCGGCGGAAGAGGGCAGATACGCCCGGCGTAGGAATAGACTTCGCCTAGCGCATAAAGAGCTCGCCGGATTTGGCGCGTATCTCTCTCTCTCTCTCTCTTTCTCTCTATGTTGGCGGTGGGAGCTTGCAACAGGTATCCCGCCGGCGTTCGCTCGCTCGGCAACGTGCACGAGTAGACTCGACTACTACTAACGTGTGTATATGCAGCCTGTCCGCGCACACGACTGAGAGAGCAAAGCGCAGCTGTGCTGTGCTACTATCCGCGTTTTTGCGTGTTCTTTTTTCCCTTTTTTTTTTTCTTTCTTTTTATTTTTTTATTTTTCGGTGTACGTGTAGATTCGAGCCGTTTCAGCCTCCCAAACGGATTTAAGGGCTTCCGAATGCGAATGCACGTACTACATACCCAACCCACGTAAAAGCGGCAAACGATTTTACCGTTTACACACGCGACACAACGTTTTTATTATTCTTTTTTATAGCCGATTTTTTTCGTCGAGTATGCAGTAGTAACAGGCGTTTATGGTCAGCCTAAGTTTATGGTCAGAATAAATCAGATTTAAAAGTCTGCAAAGTTCATTCAGGAATATGTATATATATGCGTGCGCGTGTGTGTGCGTGCGCGCGCGTGTGTGTGTGTGTATATATATATAGGAATCAAGGTTGTTTAACTTGACTGGCGAGTTTGCAAACGTCGTTAGCGTGCAATAAGTTATACTGCAGCATCAATATCACATCCGTATGTCCTTTCAATGTCGTGTGTCGCTTCGCCGTTCGGCAGTAATCCCACGAACTCTAGCATTTCCCTCAGCAAACTCTCGACAGGCGCAACAACTCCCAAGGCAAAGTATGAGTATTGCACAGCTTTAAATAGTTGTTGAGGGCCTCGCTACCTAATTTTCGACCCCCCCCCCCCCTTCCCAAACACGTCAAATCGAAAATAAAAGATACTCTCCGAGCATAATCGAAAATTATGCATCTCTCTCACTCTCTCGTCTTTTGTGTGTAATTTTGCGACAATGCGACGACGAATTCTCACTCCCTCGTGCGTTCACACATCTAGTTTGACGCGAACATTATGAATTATGCGCGAATGAACGTACAATATCGTCGTACTTGCGTTATCTGATTCAGCTCCTTTTGTTATCGTGATAACTGACGAAAATTGATCAACAAGTTTGACGCTCTGAAGAGGAAAAAAAGTTCAAAAACAAATCAATTAAAATGCAAATCGCAAATCTTTTATTTCTATCAGAAGTTTTTTCATATCATAATGTCTGCCAGTCTAAGAGTAAGAAAAAAAAAGAGGGTAAAGAGAGAAAGAAAGTGCGGTTGCATGATTGCACTCATGCCATGCGCACCGTGCATTTCGTGTGTGTCACAGCTCGTAGCAGTAATACGTCAAAACAAAGGGGGTGGGGGGCTGTCGCGCGAAATTTCGATAACACACGCATACATAAGAGAAGGGCATTTCACGAGAGTGCAAGTTGGAATAAAAAGAGAGAGAGAAAGAGAGAGAGAGAGAGAGAGAGAGAGAGAAGCGCGTGCAACAAGCAAGTGGTGCGACGTCGGAAACAAAATCAATAAAACATCGCGCGCAAAGTCGTCCGGGCGAGTGTAAGTGTGCACGCGGCCAAAAGAACCTAATGCAATGAATTGTATGACCTAGATTTTCTTGGTTTAAAAATCGCTTCGTGTATGTTCGCATATATTCGCAGTGGAATGTTTGCCCTTTAGACATTTGATTAATGTTGTTGCATGCGATTGGCTTACCGACTACGAAGACCATATTCTTTGTCCATCGCAGCAGCTCCCGGCGAATGTGTTTGCGTTCCTGTATGCAGCGGGCATAGGGGCAATCCGCCATTTTTAAAATCACATCTTAGGGTGTTTATGTGCCCCGGCCGGCTTTGGCTCTCAAGGGCTCGCCCAAGTTGCCACCACCTCGATGCCTCCAAATTTCTCCACGCCTCGACGAGTCCGTGACGACGCAGCCTCGCCACCTCCACCTTGTATCATCATAAAAACACATATTCTCCATTATTAACACTTAAACGTAAATCAAAAGTCGAAAAACCATTTTTTTGTCAATGAGTAAATGTTTAACGAAATAATATTAAGAATATAACGGTATCATCTAGCGACGAAACGTCACGCTCTCGTACTGATAACATTGTTGTTGAATCAGATATATTAAATTATGAAACATATAAATTAATAAATTCAATCACCTATTGCTATTCGTTATTTATTAGCTTAGGAACAAATAATGCGGTTCCAGAAAAGGAAGATATTTATTCTAATTGCATTAATTGTAATCGACTAAAAACACTGCAACAAACGCCAATTAGGAGAATTTATTAATGCAAGATTCAAATTGAACAACTGACTTAATAATTGCTGGAATAAAAGTTGCATAAAGATATCGAAATATACTAATGAAATAAAAAGAAATGAAACAACATTCCGACAAATAAATTGATTACTAAAGCAATAATTATCTCGAGCAATACTAAAGAACAATTATATAACTTATATAAATTCAACCATTAAATACACCACTAAAACATGAATACAAATCGTATATATGGTACTTAACATTGTAATTAAAGAAGTTAAATTTAAATGTGATTAAAAGTAATTCGAGTTGAATAACAAAAATCCTAAGTCATCGTAGAAAAAAGTTAATCAAAAATTAGGCAAAAACTAAGTCCAAAAGTAATAATATACATGATTGAATTGACAATAAAAATAAAAGAAGTGATAATAAAATTGTAATATCAGAATATTTGAATAATTAGTTTTATGTCGGACGTTAGCTAAGAGACAAAATCAAACATTAAAATAATGGAAAAATGAAATAACTAAAGTTTATTGATAGGACTGTTTTTTACGTTATATTACAGCATAAGATGTTCAAAAGTAATGTGCAAAATAAAAAATAAAGCTAGAATTAAAAATATAAGTTCAAAAGTTTCAAAAACTGCAATTACTAATATTAAGTCAATGTATCAATATGTCTGTTTGGCTACATGATTAAAAAAAATGAAAATTAACCTAAATTATATAGATAAGCAAAAATAAACTAACAAAGTGATAGTCTCACTTATTTTCAACTAAGGAATAATATTTAAAGGATTCATGTATAACAGAATACATCACTTTATTAACATTAATAAAATATAATCTAACAATAGCTTTCTCAAGAATGTTGGAAGAAATGATGCATCAAACATACTAGGTAATATTATAAGCAAAAATATAAATACGAGTGTTTCAACGATTGTTGCCTTTTTGGATTTGGCTAAAACATACGGTGGATCGTAATATCTTATTGTAATAGTACATTTCGATAATAGTACGAGAAAATGTTTTTAGTCTCGTACGAACGCTTGTGCCCAAGCAAAGTGAGGTTAAAGAGATCACACGAAGTTGAAATCCTTTCTCGCAAATGTATCTAATTTTATTTTTCGATACGATATGTGTGAGACGAGTTTTGAGGTATGCTGGCTTTCCTGAACGTGCGTAAATCGAATCGTCGCGCACGGACTGTGGAAGAAATGTTGAAGAAACGGAAAAAAGGTAAAGCATACGATCTAAGAAGAGTCAGATTAAATAATGAAACTAATAACTATCAAATGATCGAAATTACATAGGGTATTATCAACGGGATGCAATACTGGAACCACTTTTATGTTATATATTGTATCTTAACGACTTGCTAAAAACATATGGAATGATTCTATTAAGTATAGGTAGATAACACAGCTGTAATGTCGGACAAATTGGGATATTGTTACGGAAAAAATGAATAAATTACTTGAATACGTAGTAAATTAGTTAAAAATTAATAAATTATCATTAATCATTAACAATACTATAAAACATGAACATTTTCGGTCATTAAAAATAGTCTATATAATTTTTGGTACCTATAAAGTAAGTGTACCTGCAAAAATTAAGATTACAATTCATAATAAATGACGTCATTATAATTGACTGACTAACATATTAAATATCATGGGTGTGGTACGCACGCGCGTGTGTGTGTGTGCGTGTAATAAGTATTTTATACTCATTTCAACACTTAAACAACAAACTTCTGAAAGTAATTAGTAAAGATAAATTTATTAAAAAAATTATCCCTGTCGAACATTATGCACTAAAATCCTTATGTTATCATTAATTGAAACTAACTGCAAAACGTAGCAACTTAAATAGCAAAACAACAGACAGTGTTCAGATTCCTAAAATTAGCAGAACCATGTACAAACCAGTAGTTATATTGTTGCTATTAAAATATTTAATAGAATACCTGAAAGCTTTATGTGATACTAAAAAAATAGTTAAACAAAAACTGTAAAAATGGATAGTAAGGAATATATGACAGTTCCTATGATGAAATTTAGTATTATTTTTATTATTGTATTTACCTTATGATTATTGAGCTTTTTTTTGATTAAGTTTTTATGTACACATTTGTATGCAATTTTTATAAATAAGAGAAAATTCCTATATGCTTGTAATCAATACTAGTTAATCATTAGAATATTGATATTGAATAACAATATTCTAATATTTCTGATCGTGAGTATTTTATTAAAGTTCCATTTTCGTTCGATTGAACGTTAGTTTATGTATAAAAATTAATTCATATTTGCGCTCCAATTGATTGAATGCAAACAATCAGATTTATATCTGATACGTGAATAAAAAATAAAGTGAGCAAATGGCGACACTTCTGTTAAACGCATTATTTATTATTGACTATATGTTAGGTATGTAATTGAGGTCGGATTAAATTTTAGGTATATCGAGCCCGGCTGACGTCTTTCTGCGCGAATCGAAATTGACTTGACCTATATTCAGGAAAAAGATTGTATCGCAAACTATCGTCGCGAATCAATGGCGAATTATCTAGTTAATTGAGTATACCAAATGCTACACAGTAGTGATAAATTACAATTGGGAAATGTGATTTTCGGCAAGTGCATTATACACGGGCAAACAACCTCGCAGTGGCGGCGGCACAGCTGCAACAAGTTGACCACGAGCGAACGAACGAGCGAGCTATATAGTATGAACGGAAAGAGGGAGACAAGAGGGGGAGGGGGGGGGGGGGTGAAAAGCCCGTTTGCATGGATTTTCACGGCATGACGAATCGCATTAACCGGCCTGCTTTCGCTCGGCCGACAAAAAAAAAAGTGTCTAAATTTAAATTCCGCTCACTACCCCACCCATCCTCTCACTGCCCGCGGCCAGTTCGCGCAAATTATTTAACTCCAGAGTAAACTAATTTATTTGACGCGTTTATTACGGCTGTACGGGGGTGGCTAGTAATTAAATTCACGTTGCCGAAAAAGCGGCTGCACGCGCGTTTGCTTTAAATAACCGAGCTTTGTTTTCTGTCGCTCTTCTTTTTTTTTTTCGTGTGCACCGTTGTAAATGTTTTTCGAGCAACTGCGCTCATCTCGTTTTTACTACTTTTTCACTGAGAATACAAGGATTTTACGTGAAAAATACCAGCTAAATTATACGTGAGTTGAGTTTTATTAGGTAAATTATTGTCATCGTAGTAATGCAAATATTACGTTTTCACCAATATTTTCGATTTCGTTGATATTAATTTTTTTCTACCCTGTTTTTACCCGATACTATTAAAAATCGATATGTTTTTACGGACATATACAGTTTTCCGTTTGAGCATTTGTCAGTAATAAATACCGAGGCAATGTTCCGAAGTATCTCCTCTCATTCTAAAAATCATCACTCAATATACCTTCATAAATTTTTATTTCCCAACTGTGGTTTCGACCGCAATAAAATTAAAAAATTTCACATGATTTCATAACGATTTGGCCTTGATAAAAATTGATACGTGAAACGTTACATACTACAGTTTGCCTTTAAAAACATGACAATGAGTATAATGAACTGTAGATATTGCAACATTCGTAAAGAATTGAGCCAATCGATATAACTAATCCATCAGGAGGAAAGACCAGTAGGAGTAGCCGTAGGGAACGGCTGATTCACGAGTAGGGATCAAACAAAGCAATAATCCCTTTTAGGCGTTGTCAGAAAAAACGTTTGTAAAAAGCCCGCAGCAACAGCAGCAGCAGCAGCCAAATCCCCGGCGTGCACAAAGAAAGTAGCTCTGGCAACGAGAGGGAGAGAGAGAGAGAGAGAGGTATATCTCGATCGAGGGGTAGTAGTAGGTGGCCAGCAGCGGCACAGCGGTGAGTCGCGATGGCCCCACCCTCCTCCTGCCCGGCGGGCGCCGCGGCCGCAGCGAGCGCGAAACAGGAAGGTACTACTTGAAATGAAACATTGCCGGTAAGAAGAGTAGAGAGCGGCGAGTGGAGGGAGGACGGTTGCAGCAGCGGCAGTGTGGGGGAGGAGAGGCCGGCCTCTCATCTTTCGGAGGCAGGGAGACTGCGAAAAAAAAAAAAAAAAAGAAAAAATCGGAAGAGAGGGCGCCTAATATGCAACAGGAGAAAAAGAATCGGCGATCAATAGGTAGTAGCGTCCTTTCCTCGAGCGGCCAGGCAGGCGGCCTCTCGCGCTCTCGCGCTCTCTCCTCCTTCGCCACCTGCATCATCCCTTCGCGGCGCTGGCGGCTGCAGCGCCACCACTACCACCACCACCACCGGCGATGGTCTTCTTCGCACACCCTCCGCCGTTGCCGAAGCCGCCGCCGCCGCTTCTTCTTTCTTTTTCTTTCGCTTATGTAAGCCGCGCCCGAGAGCCTTTTTTCCGTCGGCTCGCCAACCTCCCTCTCTCTCTCTCTTTCTCTCTCTCTCTCTCTCGCTGCTAATTCCCTTTTCTCCGTGTCTCCCTGTGCGCGCAACTCCACCTACACGCGGCCGCGTCGGTGTGCCTGCGTGTGCGGGAAAGTGTCTCCCGACGACGACGACGACGACGACGACCTCGCCTTTTGACTCGCACAGCACAATGCGCGCAAGGGGTCAAAGGTGAATGCTTTGCGTTTCGTCATTTTGCCAGACGG